CCCAAAACCCCAAAACCCCAAAACCCCAAAACCCCAAAACCCCGAGAGAAAAGTGGTAGGTTGAAAACAGTCTAGATAAATTTTTCTATATGAGAGATTGTTGAAATAAAGGATGGTTGAACTTAAAGCCACTTTCTTTTAGGATTATAATTAAACGACCTCTTCGGATTCTTGTTTTGGATCTTATAAAAAGCAGGGCCTGGAACTCTTGAAGCGCTAAGATTATAGATATCCCTCAGCGAATCAGATTTAAACATACTGTTTGTCACTGGTGCTACAGAATATTTGTTCTTATCAAGTGGCTCAATATAGGAGCCTGGCCCAGGAGTCATTTCCTGTTGTCTCTGCATTTTCTTCTGGCTCATTACGATAACTTGCTTCCCATCTATTTTATTGTTATATCTCTTAACCCTCCTTCTTTCTTTATGGGGTTGGTCTTCTTTGCTATATAAGTTTTAGTGATGAAAATCGTTAAAAAATTTCTAAAATTCTAGCATTTTCTTGAATAATTATTTTTAATATAAGTAGAACAAATCGAGATTTCATTCATTGGTTCTTTAAAGATGATTCAGAGATGTTCAGAGTTTAAAAAGAGGAGAAGATCTGTGGTGGAAATTATGCTTACTTTTTGTAATAACTCCCAGGTCCAGGAAGTTTCTTCTTTTCATCCTCTATTTGTTTGAATGGATCATAGAGATCAACCTTGACTCTTTTGCAATTCAAGGGATCCATGAAATTAGCTGTTCTTTTTAAAATATTAAAAGTTGTTTCAGACTTAGAATAAATTAAGTTAGGGTCCACTTCATAATGCCCAACAGGTGGTCATTTTGTTGTAGGCTTTAATTGTTGAAGTTTGTTCACTCCAGACTTGAAGACTGCAGTTGGCTTAGCTTGTGAGAAAGACCTCTTCATGGGCTTCTGAATGTTATAAGCTCCTGGACCTGGCCCTAGTGTCTTCTTTTCATTTTCAGCTCTTCCAACAGCTTTAAAAGCTGATGAACTGTTACTATATTCTCTCTTTTGTACTTCATTCTGAGTCTGACTCTCATCTCTTGTTGAAGGTAATGAAGATGAATATGCTCTTGGATCAGGAATAAAGTAACCTTGGAAGTCAATATCAGTAGAAAACCTCTCTACCTTTGAGATAAAGCCATTTCCAAATCCCTTCTTTGAATGAGATTCCTTAGGTTTTCCCATTAAACTAATAGATTTCTCCTCTGTATAAGACCCAGGGCCTGGATCTTCATTAATATACTCAAAAAAGCGGATAGATTTGCTGCCAAAAGCTTGATTTTCTTGGTTATTATCAAACAACTGAGTCTCGAACTTAGAAGGTACAGATGGATTGCCCACCTTCGTATAAGAGTTAGTTACATTTCCTTTGATCAATTTACCGCTATTATTCTTACCTTTCTGGCGATAAGATACTTTTTCATACTTCATATTCTCTATCTCATCAAGATGATCAAACTTCTTATTTCTCCCTTTAGGAAGTGGAGCTTTGCCAAATTTCGTCTTCAAAGCCATTTTATTTTTATAATTTCCCAATTACGGAATAAAATAAGGGGTTTTGGGGTTTTGGGGTTTTGGGGTTTTGGGGTTTTGGGG